AATGAAAAATAATATTTCACAACACCCAATTATTTTGCAGTTATGGCTACGTGTGCCAATTTCTTATGTTAATATTATTCAAACAATCAAAACTTTCAAAGAATAAAAAACGCCTACCCTATATCCAGGTATAATATGGTATTGAACAAGGCTATATGTATATACTGAAACTAGTTTGATGAAAAAATATCTGAACGATACGCAAAGTATACTTCATAATACTGAAAGTGTAATCGGAAGGATAGGGCGATTGTGTTTACACTTGTTCAACCGACCTTCACCTCAAAGAAATTGTCTAACATGTACAACAATGTTGACGTATATACGCTGACAAGGGAACACAGGATTTTGCGAGGACCCTTCCCTTGATTCAGGGATCGTTTGTACATAAATATGAGATGTAAGTAATCAGAATGATTCTGACTATATGTGTATTGTTATATGTTTTATCGTTTTCATTGTAAGTAAGAGAAGAAGCAAGAAATGCTCATAAAAACCTTTGTCGTTCTGCGTCAGTCACGGACACTTCGACAATTTCTTATGAAATATCAAATAATTGCATTGCTTCTTTTTTTAATTTCCCATTTCTTGCTACGATACTCTTTCCATGCATATTTTAAAGCTATTGAGCCATTGCAAGCAATGAATAGACGGCTGCATGTCGGAAAATTTCAGAAAATGCTACGTAGTATCAAATCGAATTTTTCTTTCTTTACAAAGCGCCAGCCTTCGAGCACAGCCGTTCGTTTAGACTTTGACACTCAATATCTTTAGTTTCATTTTATCAAGACAGTTGATATTGGTGACAAAGACCATTGTAATTTGATTCTAAAATGTATGGGAATTCAGTGATGCATTTGTCATGAGGTAAATGTGATATACACGCGTGATGTGATTGGCGTCTCATTACCGGCCTCTCGCGAAACATGATTTTGTAAACACTATCCAATATGATAGAAAGCGCCCGGTTTCGTGTTTACAAGTGTATTTTCAGAATTATCATTAGTGATTTCATGAAAACCTGATATCAGTGATCATTAATATGCTATTTTTGAAATTCAATACATCTGAGTAGTAATTATCCAATTTGAACATTTGAAAACATACACCAAATAACGCTGTGAATCGTTGATTTAAGTAATGTGTCAAATATGGCGACATTATGGTGAAGCCCATTTTGAAAGTCCATGTTATTTTTCCATCAGGATCCATTGGTAAAGTTGGGTTTTCTCGGTTTTCTTTGGCTTTCCATGATTACGGCTGAAAGGGATGTACCGTGAAGTTGTTTCGCGCTTTTACCAGTGGTTTAAAAACGTTCGAAAATCTAAAAATAGCACACCGCGCCTTGACGTAAATCCGTTAAGCCGGGAGTAGTAACGCCTAGGCTTAACCGACGTTGTGCATGACGTGTAAGAGGAGGGCGCTGCTAAGCCCGACGTAGTGTGTTACGCCTGACATTAGCTACGCCCAACATGTGCATACGGCCACTGGAAGCCAAGGGTATTTTTCTGGCACACATGTTCATAAGTTCTGAAAAGCTAATCGTTCAAGTGGCACTGGATTTACCTACAACTATAAAATTACACAGACTTGTAGAATATTAAATTTCCTATTCGAAAGGTGTAAACTCATGTGCACATACTTCGGTGGTTTGAAAAAATAGACACTGCTAAATGTTGTCAAAAGTTTTGTTACATGTTAAAATACAGTAAAAGCACTGTGGAACGAATTTTGTAATTTGGCATATATATGAAATGGGTTGTGTGCTTCTGTATAACGATAAACACAATCTAAAAAATGACTTGAAATAAATGTTGAAAATGTATTTTCCTCTATGACATCAAACGATGACAGAGAGATCGTACACATATAAGATAAGGGGGCATAACTCTGCTATGCTTAACACTAGGTCATTGTAACTCAGATCACTTGGAGAGAATTTGCTGTGGATATGGACATTATATCTTCGTGATATTTTGTTCACAGTGAACCAAACTATTCCAATCCAAAGATCCACACTGAAACCAGATACATTTTGGTATTATCACAACTTATAGGAAATGATGACATCTTATTACATTATAAAGCACTTATAAGCGAATTGGGTGGCCCTATCCGATTTTAATTTGGTTTTTAGATTCCCATAGTATAGTGTTATGAAGATGTATTTTTACTCATTTTGCACAATAATTAACTAGCCATATGTTCAAGTGAAATGAAATTACTGAAAATATTACATCTCAGTTGACGTCATGGCTTGTTTTACATACTTTGTGACATCGGAGAAAGACTACATTGTTATGTTGAATAGTATATATCTCACCTAATTTCTAGTAATTGTATAAAAAGGTCACAGTTTCTCTGTCAGAATTTAAAGCTCTTTCAACAGAACATAAAATGACTGATTTCACCATTTAAATAAATGACCTGAGTAGATAAACAATTAGATGGTTTGACTGTGTATCTTAATGTGAACACGCACACCTGTTTGACATCAACCTAACGCAAATAAAAAAGAATACTTCAATGCATACAAATATATTTTTTAGGATAAGACTTTTCTTTGTTTATGATTATGCATCTATTTCTCTTCATAAGTAGACAATGAAAGATGCAAAAACATAGCCCTTTTTGTATGGAACTATCAGATGTTAGGTTTGTCCAAAGCAAGACATGACATTTATATTTCGTTTATATTTGTTTTACAAATTTTTGAAGGAATAAAGTTACTGTTTGATATCCTCTCATTGCAATATTTTTTTCCAAATATGAATCAATGATATTATCTAAAACAATGACAGTGAATTGTAAAACGTTTGTGACAATCATGCACCTGGCCTGTCATTATACATCACTGTTTTGTCAATAAAATGTAAGCATATATACATTTCATAAAATATACATATAATTTTCATTGTTATTGTCAGTCTTACTTATAAGGTTAAATGAAATTTCTGTTCATTAACCTGTTCATATGAAACTGCAATATTGATCCCAATATTGAATATTGCACAGCATAGGTCCTTAGGAACTAAAGTACGTTTCATCTTGTAACACTTGTGTGAAGGTATAAAATATGGTGCACTACACTATAATGTGTCAATGTATTATGAAAACATTATTCAAACAAACAAAAACTTTCAAAGAATAAACAACCTATGGCCAAAATCTACATATGATATATTGAACAAGGCTAAATGTAGATAATAAAATTAGTTTCCTGAAAAATTATCTGAATGATACGCAAAACATACATTATAATACTGGCAGTGTAATCAGCGGGATATGGTTATGGCGTTTACTCTTATTAAACCGACCTTCACCTCAAAGAAATTGCCACATTTCTTACAAAATGGTGGCTTTGGTGACATGAGTATGCAAGATTTGCTGGGACCCTTCCCTTGATTCAGCAATCGTTTGTACATAAATATGCGATGCAAGTAATCAGAAAGATTGAGTATTTGTGTATTGTTATTTGTTGTTATTGTTTTCATTGTAAGTAAAATAAGCCAAAATTGTTGATAATTACCATTGTTGTTCTGCATAATTTGTATGAATATCTCAATTTACTGCATTGTATATATTTCTAATTTCCTATTTCTTACTACGATACTCTTTCCATTCATATTCTAAAAGCATTGCGCCAATGCATGCAACAAATAGACGAATGGATGTCTGAAATTTTGAAAAAATGTTATGCAGTGTAAAACTGAATTCTTCTTGTTTACATTTCAAACAAGCGTAGTCTTGCAAGCACATTGTTCGTTTTCACACCCATTATATTTCATTTGATTTCATCTGGACACTTGATTTTGGTGACAAAGATAATTTGTTATTTGATTCTAAAGTCATGTATTTGTCGCAGCTGAATATGAAATATATGTGATGTAATAGTAGTCCCATGACTGGCGTTTGCGGAATGAGATTTATAAACACCATCCAATATGGAGGACAGCTCACTTTGGCTTTTCATGTTGGTGTATTTTCCAAAACATCCCAACTGATTCTAGGTTTATCGGAGACGCTTCTGAATTATCATTGGTGATTTCATGAAAAACAGATATCAGTGATCACTAATGTTATTTTTTAACTTCAGTTCTTCGATTAATGATCTGATTTCAACATTTCAAAACATACACCGAATGACGCTGTAAATCACGATTTCGTAATGTGTAAAAAAATGGCGACCTTTTAGAGGTCATTTCCAGCACTTTAACTTTGTCTAAGATGATTGTGGCTGGTATCAAGAAGCAGGAAATCTCATCCAGACTGACTGACTAACTTAGGTTTTACGGCGCTTTTAGCAATATGCCAGCAACATCACGGCAGGGGACACCAGAAATGGGCTTCACACATTGTACCCATGTGGGGATTCGAACCAGGGTCTTCGGCGTGACGAGCCAACGCTTTAACCATTAGGCTACCCCACCGCCCCATCTCATCCACAATTCAAAACTGTGAAATATATTATGTGCGTGATACATTTTGAATATCATTCGACTCCAAAGTGAAGGTTGAAGAGGAAGGTCATAAGCGTCACTCTTGCATCCAGGGGGTTCAGCGAGGGAAGTTTGCGCTAAGTTTGTTTTCACAAAAACATACTTATTTTTGAGTTTTGCATGAGTTGCCAAGTGAAAACAAACTTGGTATGCGTTTGAGATTGATATCTATGAACGCTCCAACACGACAAACCCATACTTGTACAGTGCACCATATAGATGACAACAGTGGAGGAGTTGGAACACTTATCGAGTCTTTCCTTACTACGCTGAGCCATAGGTGTCTATGTGGTATAATAATACTGACATAATTCGTCATAATACTCATCTCAGACAACATAGTGACACAGCACAGACACAGCAGTCCAAATATGTTTGGGAAATACAAAGCTTCATAGCTCACGCAATAATGGAAATGTTCAAGTTTAGAATGTACAGACATGATGGACAACTCTTCATGACATAAGCTCACTTGGCTTTAAGTCAGATGAGCAAAAAAGCTGACTCATTTCTTGACTCACTCTTTAGCATTCTCCAGTGATCTCCTCCTTTCTCCATACTGCTCTTCCCATGTTTGCCTTTCCTTTTCAAACACCTTGTACTTGTCATCCAACTCTTTCTGCTGCTGCTCTAAACTCTTCTTCATCTGCTCTGCACGCTTCTGAAGCTGTTCACATGGAAAGATTATTTGTGTAAACTTATGTCTAAAGAACATAAATGCAAAACGCTACTGGCAAGTGAACAGTTATCGCTGCGTAACAGTTATCGCCAATACATCAGTATCACATGTGCACAGTTCCGGTCAATTACAATTCCAGTATTTTTTCTTCATGGTAAGTAACATAAGAGAAAAATTAAAGATAAAGTTATGAACCATATAAAGAAATTTTAACTTAGTCGTGTGTGTGTGTGTGTGTGTGTGTGTGTGTGTGTGTGTGTGTGTGTGTGTGTGTGTGTCCCACAACCTATATAATAGCAAGTTCAAGTTCACAAGTCATTAATTGTTTCATTTCCTATCAATCTACTGTAAAAGAAACACTCAAATAGTCACACAATCAATTATTCGAGGTTACTGTATGATATAAATATATTATTTTACAAATGGCATGAAAAATTCGAAATGGCGATAACTGTTAGTTAGTTGTGAGAAAACATCTATTTATACTGAACAATAGAGAATTTTCTGGGATTCATCTTCTTTTTATTATTTGGTGCAACAAAGGGCTTTAGTTCTACATGATGATGGGGCCAGAACAAGTTCTTTAGTTCTACCTGATGATGGGGCCAGAGCAATCTCTGAAACATTGTACCAAATAATTAAAAGGAGATGAAACCCAGAAAATTCTCTATGTTCTTCAAATAGCATCTTCTAAAATGCCACTCAAGCATCTATTTATACTGCAATGATTACCTTCCACCGTGTTATATAAAAACACGATCGGCGGCAGTGAACGGGATGGACGCATTGGTGAAAGCTAATTAAGTATCATAATCAATTCTGTTTCATTAATTTAACGAACGACGGATTAGTTTTGTAAATACCGCTTAAATATGGCGATAACTGTTCGGTAGCCAGAACACATTCAAACTTTCACAAGTCCATGCATTGACATGGTAGCCTGAATATGTGACAATTTCCATAAACACACTGCTGATAAGTTACCTACAATAGGTTCTTCTCAGTTTGCAACAATCAATCTTACATGTAATATTGCACAACAATACACAACAGCTTCATTTCCATGAACAAAGTTTCAACTCAGAGCTGTACCTGCCTTCTAAGATTTTAGTTGATTTGTATTTCAAAATCCACAAAAAATATTAGAATATTTTGAGTTAACTGTGTCTGTGAAAATGCTTAAAAATATAGATTCACATGTATATATATATGTGCTAAAACAGAAGTCTCCAAATCACAGCATTTCCTTAAACTCCTAAAGCAAAACTTTATAAATAACATCTCTAACTTTCTCTCCTCCAGCAGACATATGTCACAATGAACGCTTTGACCCCAAGGTCGGATAAGTAAACAATACCGCTTAACTAAACGTCTTCTCACGGTCCCTGGAAGTAAATTACTTAACAAAAGAGACTGGATAACTAAATTAGTGATCACCACATAATCCGACAAGTAGTAGAGGAAAAGACAGTTCTGGATCACTTCCAACAAAATCCTCTGCAAAGCCTTATTCCCCAAATAAGGCTTTGGTCGGACCCTTAGCTCTTGCTACCATTACCCCTACTGCTTTCCCAACCTATAAAAATTTCAAGCAAAATGTCCCCGGCAGCCACAATTCCCAAAGGGAGAAATAGAAATGTATTGCGCTTCCTCCCTTGGGAATTGTGCTGGCTGCCTTTCTCTCACATCACACAAAGTTGCAGAGACAACGGCGGGATACGAACCCACATGCACAGCTTGCGCAGACTATACATAATGGGCCGCACCACTTAACCGACTGAGCTACCGCGGACTTAGCTGAAGTAGGTCAGTTTAACGGGTAGATCATGCGCACTCCACGCATCACGCGGACACGCTTGTCTGGAATCAATAATTCCTGTCTGCCTGGCCCATCCCTCAAGTAGTACAAGGTAGGTTCGCCTGATTTCATTTTCATTTTATATATGTTGTATAGCTCCATGTGGCTTAATGTCACGCTGACATCGATGAAACAGTTTAATGTGAATCGCCTATGATCTCTTTGGTGTTGGTAATAAAGGCTTGCTGGGCTTTTTTCACCCCTTGTTCTATGTACTTTTTTCTCATCCTCGCTATAGCAGACTTACGACTTGGATCGAATCTCTTGTTTCATTCTATGATATTTCAGCGAAGTTCAGAGAGGACTAAACGAAACTCCTCCTCCGAGATCTTGTTATCAGTGAGTGCGGTGGAAATAAGATCGCTTATGGTGTTAGGCTTTGCTTCAGCTAGAACCCCGATCTCATTATGCTTCAATGCTTTACGATGCAGTCTGGCGGATACAAGCTTAAGCCCTAACCCCAACACCCCTGTCACCCCAGCTGTTATTTCGAGCCCCATCACTATAGGTGCGCCACGATGGTAGCTAACAACCCAACACCTGCCACCCCTAGGCCCATGCTGGCTGCCATAAGGGTAGTATCAGTCCCGGCCCACGGCATTGAAAGCTCTATGGTACTTTTATATAGTGCTTTCCGCTTATCGCGTCTTGTTCTAGTTGACGCTTTTACATCGCATAACTGTTTCAAGCTGAACCCGCCTACGGTTTCCAGGGTCTTCACTACTTCATCTATGCCTGGGTACAGTCCCATCCTATAATATATATTGCAAAAGATAATTTAATTGGGTTTCATTTAACCTTCGATTAATGTACTTTAAAGCTGATAATACTTAGATTAACGTATAGATGTAAAAAGCAGGGTCTCAACACTACTCCCCATTAAGGAGACTTAACCCCATCAAGGCTTGCTAAAGGTTCGCTTTCCGATACCTATAGTAATACAATAACGCTTGGTTATTACACCTGGCTTCCCAATATATGACCATATCATCTATAATGTAAATATACACCCCAGGCTTACGGACTACCTCCGAGATAAACGCCTATGATGAATGTGTAGTTTTCGCGACACTTCTAATTAATCGGGACTGGGAAATTTGATCTCTGTCTTTACCTTCTCATTGAAATTAACATGTTACCCGAGAAGCCCGGTACTGGTATGACTTGTATACACTAGATTCGAACTTAACGATCCTATAATCATACCGCTTGTTCCTAATCTCGAGATAGTATTATTTTGTTTCAAGGAGATATAAGGTGAGGTGAGGGTTGTTGACTAACCATTCAGGCTCTTTAAAATCCGATAACGAAACCCGCCCTATACACGTTGTCTTTGAAGTGTAGGACGTATAAGACGCCTCTTCCTCACCAGGTTGATCGAATCCCTCCGTGTCCCCTAAGTCGCTAATCGTGTAGTGTTGGGGCTGCCAAGACATTGCTATAATACTATTACGATATAATTTCCAACTGGTTTTCTGATAATAGTTCAGGGGTGCACTTCACCCCTATGAAGTGTATGTTGTCGGGTAGGAAGATCTTGGTTAGTGATATCGTGTCTTCCACGCACCACGGTGACACCCTGCAGACTGGTTTTGGAGTCGACACCCACCAAGCGCATCGTGAAACGCTGCAAACGTGATACTGTTGTTGTTTCCCCACCGAGTTTGACCCCTTCACGATCTCTACATCATCCCGCCGATGGTTCCCTAGGTAGACTTGGATGATCAGTGCTGAGTTCGCCGTAGACTCTCCAGGATCCTGACCACGCCTTCAATTCAGCCACCAACTGCAATGTCACGCTTTGCATGCCCGCTTTACTCGATAGCATGTGGGCTGCCATACTGGCGAAAGTGGGCTGATGACTACGCCACGCCTCTGAGTCGGGATGTAAGCCACGCAGCAGGGTTCCGTTGTTCACTTACTTTGTTTAGGTGGTTGTCTTTGTTATCCGTGAACACGAGGGGAGCCGAGCCTAATATTGAGAAACCAGTCGACTTTACCCGGTAATAACACCCACTTGTCATCATCGGTGAAGACGAAGCCGTGATATGGTTTGTTTCGGGCGACGGTAGTGCTCTCAACATCGGGTTAAGTCGAATAGTTTGCCTCCGAACGATGGGTATATCATCCAGTTATCACCGTGTTGACAAGGGTGTACTTAGTGTTGACTGCCGCCTTTGAGGTATCTACTATATCGCTTTTAGGTTGCTAGTACCACCGAGGGGACTTCAACGCTTTGTAAATGCTGTTTTGCTGTTGCAAGCATTACACTTTACCATCTACCCGGGTCGCCGAATCCGCTGTGTCCCCGGTGATCGAGATCCCCACATTGATGCATTTTTTCAACTTCATTCCGGGACCTTGTGCGCTGGTCATTTTATGTGCAGCGCTACGCTTGAGGTATCCTATATTCACGGTGATTATGATTTATATCTAACACCGATATTATCAGCTCAGGGATGTTGCCCTGGGTTAACCTCTTATATTGCCACGCTGAAAACGACTCGGTTCTGCCATCGTTGTATTTCTCCGCTTTAACCGCACTGCTCTAAGTATAGTGGAAGGGTGGCCTCCTTTGAATATTGTCCGTTGTGCTAACCTGGTTGAGATGAATGCACAGCCTCGCACGGTACTAAGTCGGGTAACTTCGCGCCTGTGACTGTAGTCGCTTGGTTTTACCCTCGCCAGGCTGCATACCGAAAGTGTTCTAGCCAATGGCCGCCTAGCCGCAAGGAGTTTCTTCCGTTGTTGATTAACACCACTGTGCCGCTTTGAGTCGCTCATCTTGAGTTCGCTCCCAGTGGTTTGAATACCTCATCGCTTTAGAGAGCACACGCCTGTAGTAACCGCCAATTATTTGGTTTGGCGATTACCACCGACGAACAGTTTATTGTTGCTAGCGCTGATGTTAGTCCATCGCGGTAGGTAGGTTATATCGCACAGTGCTACTTCGAAGTTGACCCGACGCGTTATCGATCGCAAGGCCAGCTGAACGGCCTCGCCGCCGTTATTCCTGGAGTGTTATGTACATGTTATATAAACTCATTATATAATAGTTTTAAAACATGAAGATCGTGGTCGCTGATGGGCTGTATTTCGACGCCCAGTTCATAGATGTATTCGATAAGTA